GCACATCCCAAACCCCTTGTCATGTCAATGCTCAGCAGAAGGAAGTGGTCTTTGGACAGCAAAGAAAGAAACAGCCTGTGTTTTCATCAGGTAGGGACACTCCAGTCAGGCTGGGATTCTCTGCATCCCCTCCACAAAGGCTCTTTTGTCCCTGGGGGCAAAAGTACTCTCCGCTTGGGGCAGGAGGTGTTATTTTGTGTGGCCCCACAGCCCTTTGTCTCCCAGAAGATTGCAAAACCCTGAGCTTCCCTGCAGCTCCAAGAAGCTCAGAAAGAGACAGAATCTGCTGGAAGGCAGACGCCCATGCGGGCGCTGGGCCAGCTCGAACCTTCCAGGCTGTTACGCAGCCCCACAGCTGCTTGGCAAGGACATCATCGACCCTCCCACATCACAGCCCCAAGCAGCCTCGGCCAGCTGTGTCCAGGCACTGGGCTGGGATCGCTGTTTTTCTGCTTTATCAGGATCGCTGAGCTCGGCGCGGAGCGGGCCGCGTTTGCGCAGCGGCCTGTGCAGCTCACGGTTATGTAAGTGCCCGGGGTTACCCCGGAGGCGCGGCCGGCTGTGCTTGCCCCGCGCATGCGCGCGGCTGCCGGGCCTGGCGCCGCGCGGTGCTCGCGGCCCGCGGCACAGGCAGCCGTGCGCTCCATAGAGGTTTGACAGCGTCCCAGCTCTGCCGAGGTGCACAGCGTGTGCCTGGGCTGCCGCGATTCCCGGTGCTTTCAGGCTGCCTGCCAGGGGACCGGTGGCCGAGCCACGCACTCGGGCAGCGCTGGTCGAACGCTGCAGCAGCCGTGTTTACCCTGCACGGGCTCCCGACCCGACGCTGCTCCGCTGCCAAAACGCCTGCGCCTGCTCCAGTAACCCAGCTCCTGAAGGTCGCTGGCTGGAGGCCGGGCTCGCGTTCCATCTGCCTGCTTTTATTATTGATTGTCCTTATCATCGCCTGAGAGAACAGCATGTCCCAAACACCCGGGGGCAGGACGGGGCTCACCGCCGCTGCTGCTGCCTTTTGCCCAAGCTCTAGCTCTCCTCAGTGGAGAGGTGCAGGCACCAAAAGCTGCGCTGCCACTGTCACCGCTGCCCACATGCACAAGCCATGATGCCACAAGCTCGGGCCAAGAGACAGCAGTGTTCGTGTATCTGCTGCCGTAGGTCTCTGTTGCTCTTGCCACCATCTCCATCCGAAGCACGGGTTCCCATATAGCAGCAGCTCCCCACATGTGCCTGTTCCCAGGATGTGCTTCCAGAAGGACAATCAGCAACTGCATCCCATCACTCTGTCACTGCCTCGGTTCCCACAGTGCCTTGGTCCAGTGCCCACTGACCTGGAGGCTGAAGGGACATGGGAAGGGACAGGGGACCCTGATCAGTCACAGCAGTGGTGCTGCTCCATCACAGCCCAGCTGGGCTGGGACAGCCACCTTGCACAGCACAGGGCAGCAGCCAGATGTGAAATGGTATGAGCACTCCATCTCTGCTGCTGCTAGCCCAGATACCAGAGATAAGCAAGGGAGCACCAGGGTGGCAGCAGAGGCATGTCCAGGTGGCAGCAAAAGAGAAGAAAGGAAGGAAAGAGAACAGAAGCGGAGGGAGGGAGGGAGGGAGGGAGGGAGGAAGGGAGGAAGGAAGGAAGGAAGGAAGGAAGGAAGGAAGGAAGTTGTCCCAACATACCGTCCTCACAAGACACCTGTGAGTCCCCATTCTCTGCAGGTGTTAGCTGATGTTTAGCTACTTTTCCCAGCATTTGCCAGGCTGTGTTGGGGGACAGGGACACATGTAGCACTGTGCACAGGTGCATCTTCTTTCTTCTACTTCGCCTGCCTGCTGCTCCCTGCTGCCCCTTGCTGAGGCGCTCCCGGGACGCCCCGGCGCATCTAGGGAGTGCCCCCCCCGGCTGTCGGCTGCCGTGCCTTCAGCTCAGCCGGTGCGACTCCTCCCCTGCCCGGGGGAGTAGAGTAACTCGGACAGCAGCTCAGCAGCTGATGCTTAGCTACTTTGCCCAGCATTTGCCAGGCTGTGTTGGGGGACAGGGACACATGTAGCACTGTGCACAGGTGCATTGTCCAGATCTATGCTGCCTGACACAAGCTTTTCATGCTTCTGTTGAGAGCACAATGGGATGGAGGGGTGGATGAAAGGAAGTGCAGCTCCAGGACACCGTGGTCAAATCAGATTGGGCTTTTATATGCTAATTACCAAACATTGGCCAGCACAGGACCGAGCACACCATACCACAAATCCGCTGGTCTTTGAGGCATTTCCAGCTTGCTAGAAGACACTCCTGGGCAGAACTTTCCCAGGCAGCTTGGAGAACCCCTTCAAGGGTCACCCATTGCTCTCAGGGCATATGGAAAGAGGACCAGAACCAGAAGAAAGCAAGTCCTTGGGACAGGAAATGGAGAAGCATATGGCTCACCCCAACTTGGCCGATGTGCTTGGAAAGGGAAGCTAAGAGGCAGTTCATTTCCAGGACACAAGAATAGCCCCATGGTGAAATGGGGGTGGTGGGGTCTCCTTGGGGATGGTGGGACCCTAACCCAGCCCTGCAGGGTGCCACCATGCCCCTGGCAACCCAACCACCCCTTGCTTTGCCATGTGCCTAAGGACAGCCCTTGAATGTGGGGTTTATTGAGCCTGACAAGCCAGCTGGGACACCAGATAATCTCTGCCTTGCTGGGGACAGTCTCCCAGCAGGGTCAGGCACGCTTGTCACAGAGGAGTGGAAAATTCCTCTCCCTGTGCTGGCACTTACTAGAGCCCAAGCACATCAGCTGTCATCCTGCAGGACTTGGCATGCCCTGGAGTGTTTATCAACACCATTTCGCAAGAGCCATGGCATACAGCCTGGCAGGGGCATGCGAGCCGCTTAGGCAACCTGCTCTGCTGAAAGCCTGTGATCTTGGGAAACACTCCAGGCTGGGAGTCCGGTGTGGATTGATGTCATCTGAGTGGCCACCAGCACGTTCTCCTTTCTGGCACCCTGAGTTCAAGTTCAGAGCTGTGAGCTTTGGTCTTGGCCCTCTCTCAGTCCTGCAGAATCCTTCCTTTGGTCTCACCTGGCAGGGTTGTAAATGACCTCAACATGCTGGTTCCCCACTCACCCAGGACGTGCTCCTCCATGCTCACAGGGTATATGGCTTGGGGAGGGAGGCACTCTACTCCCTCCAAAGGGTTTGGAGGTATCAGCTGGCACAACAGAGTAATTGTGGTGACAGCACATCTGTGTGAGGGCTGCCCTCCAGGCATAGACCAGTGGCTGCATGATGCCTGAGAGATGACACAGCAGGACCAGGCTGTCCCCAGTTAACTCCAGATATGCAGAACTGACACAATCCCCTCAGTCAGGGAAGACAGCAGGCACATCCTGGACGACACTGGCTAAACAAGCAGGGGACATGGAGTTGCAATCAGGCCCTGGGAGCCCTGCGGTTGCCCCAGGCAGGGCTGGCTGTGCGCACCCAACTCCATGGTGCTGTACTTGGCCATCATCAGTGGGTGCAGTAGCCGGATGGCAAGAAGACAGAGTGTCAGAGAGTTCTGCTCCGCTGGAGGCACTGCAGAGCCCAGGAAATGTCTTAGCTGCTCTTGCAATTTCAAGATGTACCCCAAAGCCCTGCTTTAAGTGGGAAATGGGTGGTGGGTTTGTGAGGTGGGTGTCACTCCCTCAGGGTAAAGAAGTAAAGCATGTCCCCAGCCTTTCCAAAGGTACAGCAGCTCCACTTGGCACCAAGGAGATGCAGGGCACAGCCTTCCCCAGCATACAAGGTCCCTCCAGTGGAACTGGAGTGCAGGGACCGGGAACAGACGGAGTGTTCCTGGGCAGGGGACTATCCCAGGAAGGCCAGCTGGCTCCTGAAGCATCGCACAGACCCTGCCCCAATTCCAGTGCAGTTGGAGCAGCAGCAGCAAATAGGTTTCGTGCAGCCGCCAAGATGTTTGCTGGAGCAGAGGCGCGCATAAACATTTTGTTTAATCAAGGACTCGGAGTGAACACAGTGTACCCTGGCTCCGTGCAGAGGGAACAGCTGCGGCCCTGCGGGGCAGGGCCAGGGACACCGATCGGCGGTGGCAGAGCGACCTCCCGTGGCACGGTCCCGACCCGGGGTGCTCAGCACCGTGGCTGCGGTGGCAGCAGAAGGAAGCCCTGGGACACCCGTGTCCCAGCACCCTGCTCTGAAGGGAGGCTGTGCCCCGGCTGCAGGCGGTTCCGGCTGCTTGCAGGGCAGTGTGCCTGGCAGCTCTAGCCGTGCAAGGCTTGGTTCGGCTCAGTCCCACTGCAGCTGTGCCCGAACCGAGGGCAAGCTGGAAGAGCCCTGAGCTTCCCTGCCCGTGGGTCTGTGGGTGGTGATCTCATGGCAGTGTTGTATCGAGAGAGCCCAAGACCCTGGCAGTGCCAGCTGCTGTGTTTTTACACAGGCAGGATGGGACTGCTTCCGTGCCCTCCTGCCCTTCTGGGAATGAGGTGTTGGGGCTGGGGCCCTCCTGTGCCCCACCAGGCCCCCTGCTCAGCGAGAGCAAGAGAGGGGTGAGGTCAGAGCTCTTCATCTGCAAGCCCCGAGTGAGCAGCCCAGGCACCCAACATCTGCCGATGGACCCCGGGCCAGCACGCAAGAACACAACTGATGGAAATGCAGAGCACAGAATCTCTCCGTGGTGGATCTGGCTAAGGGCAAGCTTGGAGGAACTGCCATCAAATTCAGGGGGGTTTTTTTTGTTTTTTTTTTTTTTTTTTTTTTTTTTTTTTTTTTTTTTGTTTTTTTTTTTTTTTTTTTTTTTTTTTTTTGGTTTGGTTTTTGTTCCCCCCCCCCCCCCCCCCCCCTCCAGGATCTGCTAGGAATTAAGCGTCTGAGTTGCTGTGTTTAAACCTCAGCCTTTAAACATCCCTTCCCACTCCCCCCATGTGCTGCACGAACCCCAGGTTTCTTTGGAAGCATTATTTTAAGAATAAGATTTAAAGAGCTCATTTCACAAAGAATTGTGCTATCAGGTTCTTTTTCTTCTTTTAATTTCCAAAAAGGTATTTTTTGTGCATTGGGGACTAGATCGAGAAGAGCTTTGGAGAACACTGTGAAGGCAGCCAGACTGTGGTATTGCCAATCAGCGCGCACCTCTTCTTCCCACCAGCCTCCCACTCAGCTGCCAAAGCCTGTTCCATGGCTTCCCAGGCAATTAGTGGTTGCAACGCACATGCACACAGCCAGCAGAACCCCTCCAGGTTTATATGTGTCCTTGATAACCTCTTGTGGTTTTTTAAGCCTTTGGTAGCAATGAAACGGCTGAGGATAGTGACAATATAAACTCCCCGAGTGCAAGACCTGGAAACGTGTTTTTCTTCTAAGCAGCTGGTGTCCCTTGGTGGGGCAGGTGTGAATGGGTGAGCTTCACTCTGTATGTCAACCCCCATGCTCTTGGCAATCAGACTGGAATTAACTGGCTTCTTCGTGTGCACCCAGGGTGGTGTTTGCTTGGTTGGCTGGTTATGGTAACTGAAAACCAGTCCGAATCACTTCAGCCTTGGGCTTCCAGACCTTACTGCTTTATTTCTAGAGCACCTTGTATCCTATTTTTCCATTTTTCATGGCAACAAAGCTCCACTGGGCTGTCATGAGCTCTGGCAGCCATTCTTTTTCCTCAGCTCCCAGGAAACTCCTCACCTTGACCTAATGGAGGAGCAGCCTGAGCTGCTATCTGGGACAGCACTGGTGTGCAACGGGAAGAGCAGGGACAAGGGGAGCTCACAGAGAGCAATGCAGCAGCTGATCCAGTGTGAATTCCAAAGCTCTGTTCTTGAAATGTTAAAAGACAAAGATTGAGGAAGACACTTTCCATGACAAAGAAAGACACTGTCCATGCCAGAGCTTAGGGAAGGTTTCTGCAGAGCAGCAACAGAAGCAGAGACCCAGGACAGAAATATTTTGGTTTGTACCCCTCTCTGCCAACATTTGGGCAGGATTTGAAGGGGGGGAACCAGCAAATCCACTAAGAGTTTGAGGGAAAAAAAAACTGACAAAAGCATTGGTGAGATTACATTTAGGAGGGTGGTTTAGAGGAGTTTTACTATTTTAGCTCTGGAAAACAGGAGATACCTGACTTACTCCTGAGCTCTGAGGGAGCCCTTATCATCTTCCTCCTCTCCTCTCCCCTCCCCTTCCCTCATCTCCTCCTCTCCTCTCCCTGCATCAGGCAGGGAGAAAAGGAAGTATCCTTGACAAGATTGTGAAAGAAGAACTACTATCAAGATGACTTCGATGTCAGCTTAGGTTTTAGAGGACAGAGGTCGGCCGATGGCCTTCTAGGGCGCTTGTGCTGCAGATTGTTCTATAAATGCTGATATGTTGACTCTTCGATCATAAAGGATTTTCACAAGAAATGTATCCCTTTGTAGCCTTGCTTTGTGCTCGTAATTCAATTGCCAACTGTGTGGAAGGGAAGAGATGCAGTAAGGCCTGCTCACATGCTGCTTAAATCCTTTCTTTAAAAGACAGTATTTTTTTCCCCCAGCATTGCCAATTATTTTGCCCTGAGGGCTGAGGATTATACAGTGCTGTTCCTGTTTCCATAATCAAGCACCTGGACACCTCAGAGCATGTTTAAATCTAAGTGTGATAATAGCTGTATTTTATAAGGGAAAAGCTCAAGAATGAGGCTCGGTGTTTATAACGCAAAAGAACGTTATAATTTGAGGTCAGCCTTAAACTGATAGTTCTTAATGTCCCGTAGTTACCTTAGACACCCAATAGAGCGTTTGTGTGCACAGTCTGACCCGGAGGACAGGCTTTTACACGGGGACGGGCAGCCTCTGCCGGAAAGGGAAGCGTCTCCTTCACGGTCCAGCACCGGACGTTCCCGCGGGCAGCTCGGAGGCATCGCGGCTGCGGGGCTCGGCCCAGCGCCTCAGGCTGTCACCGCACCCGGCCGGGGGAGGCTGTCGGGGCAGCCCCTGCCCGGGGCGCGTTTCGCTAAGCCGCACACGCCGCACGTCGGGAGCGCCGCCGCCCCTCACGGCAGCACAGCCGGCCCGCCGTGCGCGCCCCCGAGCCGCTGCGCTGTCCCCGAGCAGAGGAGCGGGCAGAGCGGGCCTGAGCGCCGCGCAGCGAGACAGAAGGTGGGCGAGGCCGCCCTTCTCCCCGCCCCCCCGGGCGTCGGTGCGTTCCCGGGGGGCTCCGGGCCGATGCGGCCCCTGGGCCGGCGGCACCGGCACGGACACCGGCGGGACGGTCGCCACGGCAACGCGGGCGGGGCGTCGCCCTGACGTCGCTTCCGCGCGGGGCGGGGCCGCGGCGCGCGCTCCTGCTGCTGCCCGCGCGGCGCCTCGCGGAGCTGCTCCGCGCGCGGCAGGTACCACCCGCGCCCCGGGGCGGGGGAGCGGGGACAGCGGGTCTCGGTCCGCCCAGCGCCCGCGCCTGACGGCAGGACCCGCTGTGCCCCCTGCCCAGGTGGCGTGCATAGAGGTGGTGGAGGCCTACGTGGAGAGGATCAAGGAGGTGAATCCCCTCATCAATGCCGTGGTTAAGGACAGGTGAGCTGGAGGCAGAGGGCACGCTCGAGGACACAGCGGCTCCCTGCCTGCCTCGGGGCCCCACCGCTGCCCTACGCCAGGGGCACGGCGATCCCCGCGCCGCCACCGCAGCGGCAGCGGGCCGAGCGGCCGGCGGCGGGATGCCGCTCCCGGCTCCGGCAGAGACCAGGCGGTCTCACTTCCCCCACAAGCTCTTGCCGCACTTGGGGTCCACCCACCCTGCGGGGACCCCGCTCCTCTCTGATCCAGCGCGAGAACATCGCCGGGTGCTTTGTTGCAGGTTTGAGGAGGCCCTGCAGGAAGCCCGGCAGGTCGATAAGCTGCTTTCGGAGGGTCCTGCCGATGATTGCCTGGAGGAGAAGTTCCCCTTGTTGGGAGTTCCCATCACCGTTAAGGAGGCCTTTTCTCTCTATGGTGGGTTTGTCTTTGTGCCTCTCCCGGTCGTGATGTGCTCCTCATAGTGGTGGGTGACTGTGGCAGGTGCTTGGAGGGAAGTAGTCTCCCTTTCCTTGGCTTGCACCAAGCTCTGCCTGGGCTTCTGTGTTTGTGCTCGTTTGTAGCACACAGGTGCTACAGAGCTTGTGGTGCTTCAGAGGAGCAGCCCTCACTGGGAACCTGCTTCCTGCAGCTCTGGGTTGTCTCGGGGCACTGGCCCTGATGCCTCCCTCCTGTTGACCTTGGCACCACAGGGATGCCCAACACCTCTGGCTTGGTCAACCGCCGCAACGTGATCGCCACCTCGGATGCCACTGTGGTGTCACGGCTGAAGCAGGCAGGTGCCATCCCGCTGGGTGTCACCAACTGCAGCGAGCTCTGCATGTGGTACGAGTCCAGCAACAGGGTCTACGGGCGGACCAACAACCCCTACGACCTACAGAGGATTGTGGGCGGCAGCTCAGGTGAACCCCGGCACCTCAGCAGGGTCCTGCACGAGTGACAGGTTAAAATGCAGTGGGGGAAGAGCTCCAAGTCTCTGCACACAGCTATTAACGTGTCCCTGGGCTCTTGTGGAGCTTAGGGACCTCTTTCCTGGGCACTGCTGTAGGCTGTTGGGAGGTCTAGCTGCTTTGCCTCTTCTGGGTGTTTCATCTGGCATTGCTTCAGCCTGCTCTGTTGTACTTCAGCAGGAAAATCCCTTTGGCCTGCATTCCCCAGCTATCCCCTACCCATCGCTAAAGCCAAGGTGTTCCCAACCCCTCTTGCTTTTTAGGTCCCCACTCTCCCTGTGAGGCGTTCCTGCTTTCCTGGATTATGTGCACCCTAAATCTGTGGGGTTTTGCCATGTTCTCTCCTGTGCAGGTGGGGAGGGCTGTGTCCTGGCAGCTGCCTGCTCAGTCGTGGGTGTGGGCTCTGACATCGGCGGCAGCATCCGAATGCCCGCCTTCTTCAATGGAGTCTTTGGCCATAAACCCACAACAGGTAAGGTGGGTGCTGGGGTCTCCTCCTCTTCCCCACCAGCAGAAATGCCATGAGGTGGAATGGGGGCTGGGGGATGAACCCCTTCAGGACACCCCTATGCTGGCTGCTGGTGGGATTGCTGTAAGGAGTCAGGTAACCTCTTGCATGGGACAAGCCTGTTGAGGAAGCACAGCTGGGGCTGGCAGTTGGGAAGCTTTTGGTGGCAGAATGCCAGGCACATGGGAGACAGGCAGGGGTTTACCCAAGTATTGCATCCTCAGCATGGGATGTTTTCACAAGGTTGGGATCTCCTGGGATGTTTCTCTGTCTTTCAGTGTCCTGAATGGGTGCTTTTCCTCCCATCCCCACCCCACAGACCTTGCCATCAGCACTTGTGGGGTGTACAGTCCCTGGGGAACCATGTCTCCCTGCACCCAAACACCCCCCCAGCAGGGCTGTCCCCATCTGGAGGCGATACTTGGGGTAGTATCTGACTTCTCTGCTCTCAGGGGTCGTGCCCAACGACGGCCAGTTCCCAAATGCTTACGGGGTGCGGACCAGCTACCTGTGCACGGGGCCCATGTGCCGCTACGCAGAGGACCTGGAGCCTGTGTTGAGAGTCATGGCCGGTCCTGGGGTCAGCAAGTGAGTTGTTCCCACTGCTCCAAGCTGCTGAGCTGGAGTTGGGAGCTCTCTGGTCGTCACAATGTATTAGGCCTTTGTATGAGACAGGTCTGCACCCTGCCTAGTTTGCTTGTTACTGATTTCCTTCCTCTGCTGCTGGCTTCAGCAGGGCCTTGGCTGCTGGGACTGCCCTTCCCACCGCCCACGTGCTCCTGGGAGCCAGCAGCCTTGGGCAGACTGATACTCTCTCTTCGCCAGTGAGCTGCTTCCTAGCTCTGTCCCACACGCCCCTCCCAGGGCTGGCCTTGCTCCTGGGTATTACAGCACCTTTTTTCCTGCTGTTAAGTGAGGAGTTTTCCATCCCCACACCATGGCCAGTTCAGTTCCTTCAGTTCTTGGTCCGTGCAATCAAGTGCAACCATGCTGCATGCCAATGAGGGGCAGAGTGGAGATGGGGCAGCCCTTCTTTTTTGCCACAGCCTGCACACAGTTGCTCTCTCCATTACCACTTTGCTTTTTCCTGGGCTCTTGTGCAATCCCAGCCTTGGCTGCAGCCAGAGTTTGTAGTCACAAGGTGCTTCTGGAGAAATGAGAACTGTACCAACAGAAACTGGATGGGTCTGAGGGGGCAGGTGAGCAGCTGGATGCGTTGTGGGCAGTAGGTGTCTGTGTCTTCAGGGTCTCACCTTGCCACCCTGAGGGACAGAGCAGGATCTCTTGAGGAGACATAACAAGTGTGTGAGAACCTCTAGTAGCTGCAGAGGAGCCTGGGGATGGATTTGTGACAAAGCACCATTCCTTTCCCAGGCTGAAACTGAATGAGAAAGTGTCGCTGGAGCAAATCAAATTCCACTGCATGGACCATGATGGCGGGTCCATTTTTGTATCACCTGTGGACAAGGAGATCTTACAGGTCCAAAAGAAGGTAGGAAGTAGCAGAGGATGGTGCTAACTGGGGTAAGCCTGAAGATAGGACCTGGGGAGACTAGTCAAAGGAGCCCTGGGGAGGGGAAAGAGTTGCTTTATGTGTGGCTCCTGCAAGAGCTGGTGAAATGAAGGGCTGGGCAGGCAGCCTTGCATCCCAGTCCTGTGCTTTCAGGGGTTAAAAAGTAGAAAAAACTTTTTCTTCTTTGGGGCTAAAGAAGACACAAGGGGAAGATCTCACAAGCAGGTCCCCTTACTATCTTCTCTGCAGTTTCCACGGGCTGATGGCAGGCATCAAATCTTTGTGGAAACAAGCCCATCCTTGCTCTTCCCTTCAGGTGGTGGAGCACCTCGAAAGTGACCTCGGGGTCCGGGTTCAGCATGTGGCAATCCACAAGATGAAGTATTCTTTCCAGATCTGGTCAGCCATGATGTCATCCAAAGACAGTGAGGGGCAGGTGTGTCAGAGTGAGTTGGCAAAGGCACAACTTTGGTGGCATCAGGGAAGAAACAGCTGTTTGGGGCCAGGTGTGGAGAGTTGTAGGCTTCCCAAACCTACCCAGGGGCTTTCCCTGCTCATTGTGCCCCCCCAATCCTCCTTTCACCTCTTCCTAAAATTGCACAACACCCTCTCCTTTGGTGTTCTGTGGGTTGAGGCCCTGGCTCTCAGCAGAGGAGCAATGTGGTAATTGGGGTGGAGGGGAGGTTGTTTTGGCACATTGACCTTTTCCATGCAGGTTAGCAACTCAGCCAAGCAGGGGGCATCCTGCCTTGCTCTTTGCCCCATGCTGTGTCTTCTGACTTGTAGGCTCAGATTAACACCCTTTGGGATGCCAGGACAGGCAGGGGACTAGCAGCTTTCCAGCAGGAGACCTGCTTGTGTAATTTTTCCCTGGAATGGCAGCTGCTCTGCTATGCTCTGTGCATGCAGGAAAGTACTTTGTAATAAAATAAACTTCTGGGAGTGTCATAACTTGTGCGTTCCTGGCACAGAGGCAGTGATGAAACAGCCCCACCACACCAACGAGGGCTTGTCTGGCTCCTCTGCCTCCTTCTTCCAGGTCCCATTGTCATATCACAGGAGGAAGTGCCTCTGGGACATTATCCTTTGCATTGTGTCAGTTGGGTGCTGCTTTGGGGGGTTCTCCCTTCTCCTTGCTTTCTCTGGTAGGGAAAAATGCTCCTGCTGCTGCCCTGGATCAGTGTCAGAGCTGTGGAGCTCCTGATGGGCATCTCCTGTGTGAAAGTGGGAACATCTCACATTGGGATAAAGGGATAACGAGAATTCCACTGTCCATTGCCAGCCTGTGCTTCCCTGCTGCATGTTGGCTTTGCTGACAGGGGGAGGGGGTGTGTTACAGGAGGCACAAAGATTCACGGACCTGCTGGGGGACCATGGGAAGCCAGTGTGGCCGCTGTGGGAGCTGATGAAGTGGCTCGTGGGGTTGTCTTCTCACACTCTCCCAGCTATCGGTAATGCTGGCAGGGGCCCTGGGAAGTGCAGAGGCAGTGGTGGGGTGGGCAAGTTGTTAAAGGCAGGTATTAGCCTTCCAATGCCCAGCGGAGCAACTCGGGGTTCGCCCTGAGCAGCTTCAGCCTCGTTTGGCAAAGACACTCCGAGTCCTTGAGTTGCATGCAAGCTCAAGAGTGTGGATCTGTGATAAATGGGAGTGGGTACCTTGGGGAAGGAGTGAGGATGGTGGAGCTGGGGGCAGGGTTCACTTCTGCTGTGAGCCACGCCAGAACTGCTAGGGGCTCAGAGAGCTCAGGGTCTGCACCGATCTTGTTTCCTAGCAGCAGGTACTAGAGGAACCCTAATTAGTGCAGTTGTGCTGCTGTCTAATGAGTGCTGAGGTCGTTATGCCAGCTCTGCTCAACCCCACCGGCTGGAAAAGCTAGAAGGAAAGGGCAGGTTGAATACTTGTCCCTTGGCAGAGCTGAGGGAATGCTGCCCACAAGGTTGTGCTAGGGGGCAATCTGCTGTGGCTACTGGCAGGAAGGGGTACTTGGAGGGCCACCCCAGAAGCAGGGGATGTTGCATGTGGCTGGGCATTGTGTTTCTGCCCCACATAGCCCACAGTCCTCTCATACGCTCTTGTCCCCATTTCTACCCTTTGCTGCAGCCCTGGGACTGACAGAGAAGCTGGTGAACCTCAACCTCAGTGGGAAGGCCAAGCTGGTGAGCATGGGGAAGAGCCTACAGGAGGAGATGGAGGCACTGCTGGGGCCGGATGGGGTGCTCCTCTACCCCTCACACCCCACCATCGCCCCCAAGCACCACTCGCCCATGTGCATGCCCTTCAATTTTGCCTACACAGGTGAGCAGCCCTGGCTCCTGTGGAGTTGCAGCTAGGGCTAACCAAAATGATCTCCCTGAGGCAGCAGTGTGGGCTGGCAGCTGGGCTGTTGTATCCAGAGTGTTTGCATTGCTGATGGTGGGCTGTGCAGCAAAGAGAGGTGTCTTGTTGCTCCAGAGAGTGGAGTGAGGGTTGTCGTGCATCTTTTACCTTTTGCCAAAGGTGCCTATCCACAGCAGGGCAGGTGTGACTTTGTGGGTGGTATTGGGGTTTAGCAGGAACCTGAGACCTGCCATCTCTTGGGGTACCTTATGTGCCTGGGGCCCCTTATGTGGTCTGAACACCTCAGTGCCACTGCCTTGCTTTGTGGAGTGATGGAAGGCTGATGCCTGGCACAGGAATGTCCCAAATTTGGCATGCCACAGTGTGTGCCATCCCTCATGGATGCTGTTTATACACATGATGTGGGCACTGGGAATCTCTGGCCAGTGATGTCCTTTGTCACCATGTCTCTGCACTGCTGCGTGAAGCACCAGCTGCCAGGATCTTGGTGCTGTGTATGACAGAGCTGCCTGCCCAGGGTGGGAGAGCCGGGCAGTGATGTGTCCCAGTCGTTGTGCTCACTCTGATCTATCCAACCTTCTCTCTTGCAGCCATCTTCAATGTCCTGGGCCTGCCGGTGACACAGTGCCCGCTGGGGCTGGGCAGTGAGGGGCTGCCACTGGGCATCCAGCTGGTGGCAGCCTCCTACAATGACCACTTGACACTGGCAGTGGCTCGGTACCTGGAGAAAGCCTTTGGAGGATGGGTTTTGCCAGGGGAAGGTTAACTTTGGGAGGCAGGAACAGAGGCAGTGACAAGTGCTGATGCTTGATCCCATCACGGCACTGCCTGCTCCCTCTACATCCCCCTGCACCCTGCTGGGAGTGGCTGGTGGTGCCTCCAGCGCAGGAACAGCTGGACCATTGCCACTGGAGTCCTCATCCCTGTGGCACCCTCTGTCAGGGAGAGACCTGCCTTTCCCAAATTCCTCAGGAGCCCCAGTGCTACAGTCTGAGGATGCCCTGTCTGCATCCTGCCTGCAGTGGGCACCCACCCACCTTTTCCAGACCGTGGAGTTGGCCAGCTCTGTAACCCTTCTGCTTTCAAAGCGCTGAGTGAGAGCTGGGCAGAGGACGTGCACCTTTTCCAGACCGTGGAGTTGGCCAGCTCTGTAACCCTTCTGCGTGTTTCCAGATTGCTGGGGGCAGCTGTGCAGCATCCTTCAGGGCTGCCTGGGCCCATGGGGCTCCGCCTTGGCCTGACTCTACGCACAGGGCTGGACTGTGCCTACTGCACCCTGGCTTGCTAGCCCCCACAGTCCTCCCAAGCTCCTGCAGGCTTCCCCCCACCCTCTGACCAAAAAGGGAGAGGGGTTAAGGGGGCTGGAGGAGCCATAGGCCTGCCTCACCAACAGCGCTTTGTGGGGTGGTGGGTGCTGGGCTCTGCAGTGTGTGCAGCTGTCAGGCACAGCTGGGAGCATTTCAGCACTTGTGTTCAGCAAGGTATTAAAGAGCCTGTCCAGTCTACTATGGCTGTGTGTCCTTTTCCTCGTGGCTGTCTCCCTTCCAGCTCCTGCCAGGCCCCAGCCCCATCTCTACCAGGGATGTGTCAGAGCTACCCAGCACTGCTGGCCATTGAAGTGGTGCAGGGACAGAAGTGGAGGTGCTGGCATCGGCCCCCGGGGGGGCACCTGGCCACTCTAAGGCTCTTGTTTTGGAATGCCCAGGATGACAGTGACTGCTGGGCCCTGGGCAGAGCTGAATGGTGCTTATGAGCTCCACAATGCTGCCGTCAATGGCTGTGTTAGTCTTCCAATGGTTGCACAGTTCTTGGGAAGCACAAGTCCAGCTGTGTTTTGTCCCAGTGGGCTGCTGGAGGCATGGCACTCGAGGTGGTGCAGAGCCGTGGGCAGGTCCCTCATGGTCTCCAGGGCAAATGCGGGCTCCCAGCCCTGTGTGCCCAGCTTGCAGCATTGGTCTTGGCAAGGATAAAACCTGCTACTGGTGTTGCTGGGATGTCCTGGCCTTTGTCTGCCCTGCCATGTGCCACCCCTGGCCTGAGCCCTTGCTCCTTTTTGTCCCAATGCCACTGACGGTCCATGCAGGGCTAGCGCGGGATGCTGGGATGGTGTGCTGGAACAGGCTGTGCCTCAGCTCTGGTGTGCAGAGGGCACTGCTGAGCACCCGTGCCCAGCTGGGACGTTGCTAACAAGGAAGCAAGGAAGGAAAAAAACAAACCCTGGCTCAGCAAAGGAGGTACAAACCACCCAAGTCAAATCACGTCTCCCAGCATGGAGGCACAGACAACGCGGACTGTCCCCCATCTGGAGGAATCCTGGCAGCTGAGCAGACCGTGGTAGCACTTCCAGTGAACACTCGGAGCCAAACGTGAGGTTGCTGAGCTGAGGGTGTTGTGTTTAACAGTGTGGTTGGTGAGGTGGATTTCTGATACGGCAGAGGGGCAGAGAGGAAATGCTGGATCAATGTTGGGGGGGGTGCTGGTGCTTCAGGGTAGTGTGATGGGGATGCAGACAAAGGAGAGGGTGTGCAGAGCAGAGGGGGTTAATCCCCACAATCTCAGTTATTACCACAACACTGAGATTTTTCCTCTGGCCATGGCAGAAAGGGGAACGGGTGTGCTGGGGTTCAGAGGGGGGCTGGCACAGACTTGCCTGCAGTCACCCTTGCTGCTTCAGGGAAACACTGCCTCCCTTGTGCTGCCTTCTGCAGTGAGAGCAGCCCTGTCCCTGCCTGCACAGGCAGCCAGTCCTAGGGTCTCCATCAGTTCCCCAGCTCTGTGCCTCCGTAAGCCCCAGGAACAATCCTGGAGGCTCTTTCTCCCTCCAGGCAGAAATAATGCCTCCTTCAATGGGCTCTGTTGCAAAGCCAGGAGGGTTCTTGCTGGTCTCAGGATGGGGGGAATCGCTAGCCCGACTGCCTGTGCTTCAGCTCTGATGTTTCAGAGGTCACACCTAAGCCCTCACCCACAGTTTGCAGCTGCGTGTCCCTGCTTGTTGGCTGTTCCTCCTTGTTTCAAGCTCTTAATGCTGCAAGGGACAGAGAAAACATGGGAGCAATGTTTTGTACTCACATGCTGAGGTGGTTGCGCTTGTAACAGTGAAAAGTCGGTGTGAAATGGGAAGGGTGAGAAGCAGTGACTGTGGTGAGCCAGCCCCACTGGTGTCCCATCTGGTCAGGGTTTCTCCCACCCCTCTGCCTCTGGAGGCGGCCCTGGGCTCCCCACCTTCATGGGGGAATGTGTCCCCACAACCACAAGGTTGGTATTGGTAGCCTCAAAGCCCTTGGATGTCTGCTCTAGGAGAGGAAGGTTACCTCCATGACCGGCAAGAGCAGGGAAAGATTCCTGGTGACTGAATGGTGGGGCAAGGCCAAGGTAAGATGGGACTGGCCAGGTGCAGGTGCCCAGCCAGACCAGCTTCTGCTGTGGTTCACAGTCTGAGATCTCTGCTTACAGCCCAAGAGGGTCCCTCATTGTGCCCCATTTTACCTTGTGGGTGATGTCACACACGGTGCCCTCCCCGTACCGGCGAGGCTGTGGCATGGCTGGGGGTGTCCTGGCAGTGGTGTCACAGGTTGTGCCAGTGTGAGTCATGCCCAGAGCTGGGCTGAGTCACCTCCCCAGTGGTGTGAGCATCAGGTGAGGAGCTTTCTCAGACCCACATCCAGATGACAAAAGGGAGCGTGGCTTCTCACCACAGAGTGCCAGAGGTGGGTGCAACAAAAGAGGTGGGTGCATAGTGCCATAGCAGTGTGGCAGCTGCCCACTGTCCCTGTAGGTCGACTTACCACCACAGCCCTGAGGGTACCTGCCCTGCTGCACCTCCCAGGATGCAGCAGAAGGTCCCCTCCATAGTGGACACCTCTGTGCCATAGTGCCACAATAGTGCCACAATAGGCATGTGGACTCCGTGGGGCAGTGTCACTGGCTGAAGCGTCCGTTTTTAATCGCAGGTCCCAGCAGCCCATCATGTCTGTGGGTAGCGGAACAGCTCCAGCACAGCCATGCCTTTCCACGGCCCCCAGCATGGCCGCATAGTGCTGGGGCAGATGGATGGGCTGTGGTAGGATGAGCCCTGCCCTGCTCCTGCTGCTGTTCCTGGCCAGCTGCTCCCTGCTCCAAGGTAAGCCAGTGCTGAAGCTGTCACCACAGTCTCGGGGGGACCCTGGCTGCAGGGCAGGAGGAGGCACAGGGACGCCTCTCAGACCTACTGAAGGTACCGTGAAGCGGAGAGGCCCAAGTGGTCATCAAGGAATGATGAGAAAGAAAACCCCCGGGTCAGCAGCAGCTGTGTCAGGGTGTTGTCTCTCCCATTTTGTCAGCTGTGTCTCTACTTCGGCAGAAGCGTGGAGAGGGTGTTTTCAGTGTGCAACAAATTGGGGGGACAGAGGTGCTGAGCACCTGCTTTGAAGTCAGTGTTTGCCCACTGGGACAAAGCTGGGGAACCTGTGCACCGGGCCACAAGGGGACCTTGCAGGACACTGCCTCATACCCCTCTGCTCCCTCCCCAGGGATGCTACTGAGGCCACGGCGCGTCAGGCTGGAGGCACGGAACTTCCACGTCTGGCTGCGTTGGGAACCAGACCCCAGCTCACCCAGCTCTGCCACTTACGAGGTGGAGTGGAGGAGCAGGTAGGTGGGGAGGAGGGGGTGAAGGGGTCTGGTCCTCTTACACTCTGGCAGAGGCTGTTGGGGACCCCTGGCAGCCAGAGTACTGTTGTCTGGCAGTAAATGCCACAGAGTAACAGAGCAGTGGAATTGGCAGGGATTGGCTTGTCCTACCCCTGCACATGCAAGGTCAGCTCAGGACTGTGTCCTGGTGGGTTTTGAACAACTTCAGGACAACATCCCTCGACAGCTTGGTCCCTTTCCTGGTCACTCTCCCAGTAACAAACTAAGGGGTTGCTTTTGGACTGCGGTTTTGGATTTTTTTTTCCCATTATGCTAAATGGGATTTCCTGTATTTCAACTTGTGTCCATTGCCTCTTGCCCTTTTGCTGGGCACCACTGAGAGGAAGGCTCTATCTTCTTCTCGTGTTGATAAGACTTCCCCACCCAAAGTCACCTTTCTCTGAGGCTCAAGCTGTCACCACTCGCTCGGTTTCCCTCGTACCACAGAGCCTCAACAGCCTCAACTCCTTGGTGGGTTCTCCCTGCCACAGCTGTGTGTTTTCTCATTGTGGAGAGCACAGGTCAGAACACAGTTCCAGATGCCATCTGTCCCCAGGAGGGAGTCAACTTGCTGGTGACCCCCCTCCTCACACATCCTGGGAACGCTGTTGGCTGATGCCTGGGCTTTCCTACGCTTTCCACCTGGGCAGGATGGCAGTGGCTGGGCAGCCCTCCCTTTGGGCTGGGAGGATGCTGAAAAGAAGCAATCCCTGTGCTTTCTCCCTGGGCAGAACCTCGAACTGGACCAAGGCAGGTGCCTGTGGGGGGAGCAGCAGAAACTCCTGGGTGTGTGAGCTGTATTTTGACAGGATTCATGATATCTACTGGGCACGGGTGAGAATGGTGGCCGGAGGTGAGCAGTCCGAGTGGGCCAGTTCCAGCGAGCTGCAGCTGTACAGAGACAGTAAGAACTGGGGAGCTCCTCCAGCTGGGTTCTTCCTGGGGGGCTGATGGGGAGAGGGGACCTTGGAGAGATCTGATGGGATACAGTGGGAAAGCATTTTAGGATACTGGAGGGAAAAGAGTCAAGAGCCCTAACCAGAGGAAAGGGATGAGGCAGAGCTGCCAGAGGATAGCTGGGTGAAGAGCAAAAGGACAGAGGAGACACAGTGAGGTGATTGGTAGGAGGCCCCAGGCCAGCAAGGCACCATGAGAATTTGGGTCTCTGGGGAATACAGCGAGATGGGGCAGGAAAGAGGATATGCCTCTGGGCTTGGCTTTTGAAGGCTCTTCTTCCTCCCCTGTCATGGTCTGGGATGAAGCTGGTGCAGACAGGTGCAGGCAGGGGCAGACCCTCTGGTGATCCATTCATCCTGACTATTGTGTTTGCGTGGTGTGGGAATGTGCCTCTTCTCAGTCACAGACTGGCTGTTCTGTCCAAAAAACCTAGTAGTCTCTTGGAGCTAGAAAATTTTCAGGGCCCTCCTCTGACCTCCATCAGAGGGGTTTTTGCAATAAACAGAATGTGTAAGCTAAATGGGTTCCATGTTGGCGGTTTGTGTTCCCTTGTTTATTCCCTCTGCATCCAACTGGCATGGAAGTGGGTGCATTCAGTTAGAAAGTGGTTGCTGGCCTTGGCAGTGGGGTCTCCAGATGCTGGTGGATGGCTCAAGGGTGAAGGTCTCAGCAGAGGGAGCTGGTGGTGCCACAGGTCTGTTGGTGTAAAGAGGAGGCAGAAGCAGTTCTAGCTGTCATGAAGCTGCCATTCCTAGAGCTGGTTTCAGAGCACAGAGTGCCATCAGGCAAGACCCTGTGCTCTGAGAGGGGAATGTCAGACAGAAAAATATAATTTCTAGAGAAACAAGATGTCTGCCTTCCTTTGAAGGCCTTAATTTTCAATTTTCCCCCTTTCCTACAGCAATTGTTGGCCCCCCCAAGTTGTCCTGGCTGCTCCAGGACCAAATTCTCAGTGTAAACATCATCACACCATCCACTCCCTACCAGAGAAGAACTGGTTCCTACAAGCCAGTCAACCGAGTGCTGCTGAAGCTGTGGTACTGGCTGCACCTGTACGAGGGGGACCTGCTTGTCCAGCAGGTATGTGTGGTAGCTGGGCAGGGCCCAGAAATGCAGGGCTTGCACAAGCTTTCCTGGTGCAGCAAAGCCACCATGTCAGGTTGCAGTGGTGTGGGGGTGCCTGTGCTGCAGCCCTGCCACAGCTGGCTGCGCATGCAGCTGTGAGGTGCTGTGCACCCCCAGTCTGGGGCTCCCACCTCAGCAAGGCAGGAGACCACTTCCCTCCCTTGGGTGAAAAGAACTGGACTGGTTCTATTGAGATGAAAGGTGATGCCACAGGTGTTTCAGGAGATGCTCTGGAATGTCAACACCTCCTGGGGCAAAGAACTGAGTGCTGGAGGTGCCTGGGAGGAGGGACCATGGGGCAAGTGGGATGTTGGGGCTGCACAGAGCAGTGGAGCCATGCACAAACCCCACCTCCAGCTTCTGTGGCCACCCTTTCCATCTGCTTTCAGGTGCCCTGCAAACGGAGCAGTAAGGAAGTGCCTTGTACCTTTGGGCACCTGAAGCCCAGCACACAGTACTGTGTCCGGACGGTGGCTGCAGACATTGCCAGGGAGCGGAGCCAGGAGGCTGAGCAGTGCCTGGTGACTCCAGCAGGCCCTTCAGGTGGGAGGACTCTCACCAACTCAGCTGGCACGGTTGCATCTCAGGTCCTGCTCACAGCACAAACTTGTGTTGAGGTGTGAACACCTCACCTTCAGCCACTGTGGTCAGGGTTGTGGCCCAGTGCTGCCCAGTGGGGACCTCTCATAGCGATGCTTTCTTGTCATCTGCCTTGGGCTTGCCTCCTGAAACATCCCAGTGTGATGTGGATGGGAAACACTGATAGAGGGTGGGGTGGGAGGGATGTGTTTGACTGACCCCTTAGCCTGCTGTGACGTCCTGGCAGGCTTTCCATGGGTCCTTGCTGTGCTGAGTGCCTTCTTCTTGCTGCTGCTACTAAGTGTGGCTGGGATCTGCTTCATGCAGCTGTATGTCTTTCTCAGTCCTCCGGAGATGTGCCTCCCAAAAGCACTGGTAAGTGACAATCCTCCTCCAGCCTCCACCTTGTGTGTAGCCATAGCCAAGCCAGGGTTCCCTGCATTTGCAAGGGCTCAGCACCTCCTTTCCTCCAACTCTCACATTACCAAGCCCATTTTGGTACCCAGGTGCCTCCCCTGCCATCTGAACCACTGTCCCCCAAGGAGAAGGTACTGGTGGAGGGCATTGGCCAGCCACGGGTCACAGCAAAGGATGGGGTCTCAGGCAGTGCAGCCCTTGGTGTTCAGCACAGTTTGTCAGAACCCCCTAGTTGGCAGGGCTTTGGCCGGCTGAGGCTGACCATGTCACTGCTTTTGTCCTTGCAGGCTCTCCAGACCAGCGAGCTGAGTGTGGCCCTGCAGGTGCCTCCACTCCAGCCTGAGGAGGACCCGCTGGCCCTGCTCCTGCAGACTGTGCTCCCCTCCCACAGGCCACCCACAGCTGTGCGGGCACCCGCCACAGTCCCACAGCTCCTCCGAGGCCTTGTCCAGGATGTGAGTGGCTACTGTGCCAATGGGTTTGGCCCAAACTGCACTGAGGGAAGGGACCCATCCTGCACCCACAGTCAGCTGGGTCATGCCTTAGGCTCCCAGGTCCCCTCACAGCTGGAGAAGGATGGGGAGGCAGGCGATGGGGATGATTTGCCAGAGCAGCTGGTGCTAGTGGGACTGGCTGGACACAGCTACACAGGTGACAGGGACAGCCAGATACCTAAAATATGGCTTCCCCTGCACCTCCAGCTTTATTCTAAATGCCAGTGCCCAGTCCTGGGAGCAGGCAGCCACCTTCCTCTGGCCGTGCCAAGCAGAAGCTGCAGCCAGGAGTACCTGCAGGAGAGTCTCGGCACGGCCGGGCCCTGGATCCGGCTCAGCTCCGTGAAGCTCCTGGCCGCTGTGGAGGCAGAGGGGGGGCAGCGCCTCTGTGCTCCCCAGCCCCTGCGTGGCGGCGGGACTGAAGCAGAACAAGGTGACAGCGCGGTGCAGCGAGGCTGCTCGGAGCAGGCCGAACCGAGCGTGCCCAGGCCCTGCCAGCTGCCCCCCTCGCCGCGCAGCGTCGTGCGGGCAGCGGCCTCGTCCGGCTACGAGCCCCGTGCCCTGCCCGGCGCTGAGCCCTAGCGAGCGGGGCAGCCCCAGCTCCCGCACGGCCCGAGGGCTCCCCGAACATCCCGTGACGGCTGCGGGCCCCAACCTGCGCGTGCAGGGCTGGCCATGGGACGGGGCAGCCTCCAAGGGCAGGCAGAGGCACATTCGGGCACCGCCGCCAAGGACAGGCGGGATCCAGAGCTTTCCTCTGGGCGTTTGGTGCTCTTGAGACACAGCCTAAGGAGCACTGACCAACGCTGAACCCCCAAAACTCTTATCTAGAGATCTGTCTGTATGTGGGCGTGTATGGTGCAGTAGCTATACTAATGTAACACTGATATATACATATATATTTATAAAGCTCTTCAATGGAAATTGTTGGGGTTTTTACTTCTGTGGAAATGTTGATTCTGTGCTGGAGCTGTTTTTAAATATCACTAATTTATACTAGAAAACTGGCTTCTCTATTCGTTGTTTCTGTGTTACAGACCCAGCACGGCCCTTCCCTGTGCAGCAGTCAGGAAAGGCACGGGGTAAACTTGGGGTTTTCCAGGCAGAAAATTGCACCCACAATCTCTGTCTTGCTCTCCTGTGGGAAAAACTGTTTTTTAGCATCATGGGATACATTTATTATTCCTGCTGCTAGCACTGGGGTGATTTATGGCTGAGAAGCCCTGCCCTGCGGTTGTCCCTTGGGATGTGTTTTGGGGATGTGCCTGACGCCACAAAGGCCAGGGGAAACCTCCTTGTGCTGTGTAGCAGGCTGGGATCAGTGGAGTCAAAATGTGACAAATGCAACAAAATGTGACAAATCCAGGCTCTTGGACTCACAAAAATTACTCTGGATCTGGGAACAGGTGAGAAACTGATGTGTAGTGTCCAGGCAGCTGGTGGAGGGGATGGAGGTACAGTGCTGCCAGTCTTAGGGAGCCTTTGGGGCTGTGCAGGGCCATGTTCCAACACTGTGAGTCACTCCTGGCATCCCAGCCGTGTTCCATCCCTGCCTCGTACTGCAGGCTGACCCCTGTAGCCCACAAGGGTCCATGAGGGAGCAGAGACCCACCTGCAGTTCAGGGAGGCCCCTATACCAGATGCCCAAAGGAGGCCGTGACTCTATGGAAAGATCATGACTGGAGCAAGCTCCTGGCAGGCAGGACTGTGGCCCCATGGAGAGAGGAGCCCAAGCTGAAACAGGTTTGCTAAGGGAATTGGGACCTTCTAGGGAGAGTGATAGAGCAGCTTTGGGATGTGTCTGGCATCTGGCCCAGTTCAATCTCTCTCAGTCAATGTGAGGACGTGTCACGTATTGAAGAAATTGAACTGAATTAACACAAAAAAAAGGAAAGAGAGAGTCCCAAGAGCTGTTTGAGGAACACATATATTACCCATATGCTTTTTTTCTACCTATGAAGTTGTGTCCAATTTCCATCTCCTTTGTCCCTCACAGTGTCTGATCTGCCTCAAGGTCATGGTCAAGCCCTACACACCTGCAGCCCTGTTTGATCAATTGCCTCATCCCTATAGCCCACAGAGCCTCCAACCTCACCCCACTCTGGAAGGTCACTGCATGGTCCCAGGTAAGGCACCTCTTAGCAGGAGCACCAGTCAGAGCTGCTGTTTGTGCCACAGGCTCTGGGCAGGAGCCACATCCCAAGCAGGAGCTTGTCCAGGCCCAGCAGAGTGTCCATCGTGTTGCTCCAGCCCGGTCCTGGGTGGTTTGCCAGGGCATTGGACCAGTGCAATGGGACCAGACTGGCTCCCACAGCTGCTGTGTTGTGGGAGCTGGGCTTGCGCGGGGCACGAGCAGTGCTCTGATCACAGCTGGCCAGGTCTCTGCAGGTCCGAAGAGAACCAGCTCTTTCCTGAGTCTGTGGCTGGACAAGGGTGCTGGTGTCCCCATGGGTGATTTAGGCAGTCGCACACTGGCAGCAGGGGCTTGCCCTGGCCCAGGGGTGGTTGGACAGCTGGAATGTTCCCACTCATATAAAAGAGTTGTTCGTGGCGAGTGGAAAAAGATAGAAGGGTTGTGACATTTCAAGATGCCATCAGCAGCTGAAGTTTCCGAGTGGATGCAAGAGGGGGTTTCTGCTTTGCCTCAGAGGTGCGAGTAGCATGTGGGTTTCTGCAGAAACACAGAGAGAAAGTGCAACATTTGCTGCAGGGCGAGGTCCTGGCATGTCCCAGGAGAGACCTGTCACCGCTATGTGCAGCACGGGGCCTGGGTGGAGTGTCTGAATTAGATCCCACTTTCATCTGCCTGGCAGGTTGGTGTGTGCTGAACAGGACTGGACTGTGCTGGAGGATGGACTTGGGTCAGGGGTAAGCCGCCAGCCCTGGGCAAGATGTCAGCCCCAGGCAGGTCTGCGCAGGACACCAGACCAGTCCCTCCATCACCACTGCAGCCTCAGTCATGTGCATACAGCAGGGTCCTCCTTCAGCATTCTGTGCTCCCTCCACAGCCTGGAAAGGGCTGAGCCAGTGACTGGGCCTTAGGCACCCAGCCCACCCTGCAGCACCATCCTCCTGGAGGTCAGATGTCATCTCTGGTGCTGGCTCAGGCCTACGGAACAGCACTGTGGCTGCAGGTACTGGTGCGGGGGCTGGTGAAAGCTCTGACTCACCACGATCTATCCCCTGTTCCTGCCTTCTCTCTGTGGTTTCACATTCTGCTGGAGCCAGATCAAAGCAAAAAGTGAGATGCTACTGCAAACAGCTCTTTATTAGAAACAGTGGGTTTAAAACTGTGTAGGAGTGTATTTCTTATTACTAATTCTCAGAGAGCAGAGGTGCCAGCCTATGAAAATGGTGCACAGTGGAAAATTGCTCTTTGAGGGCTAGTGGGGCTTTCACAGTCACTGAGTGGGAACCATTGTACCTGACAACCATGAGAGATGTGGTGGCCCCTGAAATGATGGGGGGAAATCCAGCTCTTATATTTTGTGGCTTGCCAGTACCGAGGACCATCCCCATGAGCCTTTGGGAGGCAGAGCTGCAAACAGCAGGATCTGCTCTGACCCTGTGCCCACTCTGCTCTGTCTGCTTTCTCTCCTGCCTATCACTGTCAGCTGCCCTGACACCTTTCTGGAACAGCCCAGAGCCACCCCAAATCCTCACAGCCACCTCAAGCGCTGTCCAGCACATCTGTGTGTATAGCAAAGACCTGGGACCCCACTAAGGCCCTGTCACTCAGCCTCCCTCTGCAAGTTGCCTTTGTGATGGATCTGTAGCTCTAGGTAGGTCCCTGAAGCAGCACAGAGCAGCAGCTGTCCTGAAGGACCCCATCCTTCAGACCCGAAAGGCTTTGTGGGTCGACAGGTCTGAGCTGCAACATCCAGGCCACTGACTCCTGCTGCACCTCCCTCTCAGAGGCCTTAGCTGCTTGTCTTGGTCGGGAAGCTGACCAGGATGGGGACTGTGAGAGACCCAGAAGCTGGAGCCTGAGTGTGGTATGTTTAGAGGATGTACCTGAAAAGGGCTGCAGAGCTGACAGGCTGCAGAGAAGTGAATTTGGTGGCTCAGACCTGTGTGGTTTCTCTCCAGGCAGGAGCTTTCCTGCAATTCAGTGGATTGGGACCCAAGCAGGGTGATTGGGACGTTCAGGTGACCCCAGGGGACTGTAGAGCAGAACTGGTCCTTCTCCATGTGCTGATCTGGGTGTACCCTCATCTGGGGATGCGTGGTAAGTGTCTGCACTCAGAAGGTGCCAAGGGCACCCTGACAGAGTCATGTACCACCTAGCTTGGTCACCAGGTCTCCTTACTCTGCAGGACAACCGCCCCTGTGTTGTCCTCACCGCTCACCACTGCTCCTCTCAGGGTCTGTGGCATACGGCCAGTTCCCATGCTTCCCATCCTTCAGATGCACAAGAGGGGATTTCTGGTTCTGCAGCCTATGGGAACGGCAGCTCAGCTCAACACTTTCCCACTTCCTGACACTGCTGCAGTAGCCCTCTGCCCCCAGGATCATTCATGCTCCTGGTGACAGACAGGACCACCAAGCTGCCCTCTGAGTTGGCTCACGATGCACTATGAGGTGGGGGGGAAGGGGGATGGTGTTTGTGCTTTCTCCTCATGGCACCACAGCAAATGGCATGAGCCTGTCTCCGGGATTTTTCATTCTGTGACATGAAACCTGGCAGGATTTTGATTTTTTCCATCTGATTTCCATCTGACTTTTTTCCATCTCCATCTTCTATTTTCCAGAGGATGGAAAACAGGCTAGATGCAGATTATTTTTAAGGAGAAAAGTCCCAGCTGTGTGGCATGCCCAATTGAAATGGATGATAGCTTCACCTCAGCTGTTTCCCAGTTGTATCCATGCCTGACAGATGGGGACTGGCAAACAGGGGTAATCAATGACCTCTGGATAATGCACCTTCAACCATTCCATGAGAAATGAGAGTCTCTGTTTTGTGGTCAGCAGGGTCACAGTCAGCCTTGTGATTAAACAATAGACGCTCAGGCTGCTCATCATCCTGTCCTGTCTACCTCAAGAAAGTCCCAGTGTGACGTCCTACCCCATAAGATGAGATGACACAATAGACTGAGAAACACGGATCTCGTGCCAAGACTTCAGAGGGACTTTCCGTGTGGCACCTATGAAGCAAGCACTGTTCAGCCTCTCTGAGCCCCAGCCTCAGTGCAGATAGGGAAAGGCACAAAACAAGTTGCCCTGTCTCCTCTCCTCCATGAATAACATCTCAGGATTTTAAGCTCTTGAAAATTTAAAATCTTCTTCTGCCTGTCAGTCTCTTCCCCACTGCCCTCAGGAAATGTGGTGCTCAGGGAGTTGGGCATGAGCTGCAGTCACAACAAGAAGGGCCTGGTTGAGGTCACCAGCGGGACCCATTCTAGCTGGATTGCTCTGAATTAAAGCCTTCCAGGGGAAGAGAAGCAATTAGAAGCATTTCCACTTGGCTGATAGCATGGTAATTTGAAACTGAAGTCAGGGGAAAAAACAAGATCTCTAATGGGAACTGGAAAAACATCAACACAGGAGAGCTGGGCCAGGTCCCAGCTGACACAGCAAGTGGCTGGGGGCTGCCTCTGTACCTGCAGCTTTGGGAAGAGTGTGCACCGCCTCAGTGCTGTTCTCTCAGAAAAGCCATCTTTCATGACCCTGTCTCATGGATGGTGTTTTGGGACATTGGTGGACCGGCCTCCATCACTGCCTGCCTTTTTTCCAGAGAGCGAGGACGAGTATTTCCCTCTCCAAAACTCCCCAGACCCCAGCACTTGCTCTGAACTGTGCCACTCTCCTGTTGCTGTGAAGCCCAGATTGATCTCTAATCTCTCTAGTCTGCAGGGGCATGCACCCCAGGAGTGTCCCCTGATGACCCCAGCCAAGGAGTCTTGGATCAGCCACCTGGAGCTCACAGACACATAGTCCAGAAGGAGGAACTGCATGGCCAGTTTCTGGGGTGAAGGGGAGAGGCTTCTCCA